TTATGAAGATCTATTTATAATATCTAAGTTTAAACATTTTATACATATATTTACATCACCACTGGAACCATATTATGTTTTATTTGTTTGTATGTATGTTACCCGATATCGTCGCCAAGAGGGACCCGAGTTTGATGATTCTCTTTTATCAATTATGTTGTACTTCAGGTGTGGTCTCATATAAATTAAGAGAATACGTTTCACTTCTAAGGGGGCAAAATAGGGGATGAAGATTTTAATGTAACTATAAAGGCGACGTTGAGACTATGAAATACCTTATTCAAAACGGTAAAAAATAACTATTAATAAAAAGCGCGTCTAAGCGTCATCTCATCAAATACAGGAAGGACCAACATCTTAATAATATGCAAATGAACAACGGTCCTGATACACCTTGATTCGTTGAACTTTGAGGTTATTGACAGAGGTTTCGCTTTTAGACAAACTACAAAAAAGATTTCGTTGTTAATTAAGTTTCTGATTGCGGAATCGAATAGGGCATAAGGGTATCTTTAAACATTTGTTAATCATCGATATATTATTAATTGTAATGTTACGTTGAAAAATGTAAAATACGAATGATTAAGCAACAGTTAACTACGTAACGAATTAATCACAAAAAATAAGCTGAGAAATTAGGAGCGGGCCTGTGAATATGATTTTGCAAATTGGAGACCAGTATATCGAATGAATATTATGGAATATTTAAAAACTGGATTGAATGTAAGAATTCAAATTTTAACATTCCAATGACGTTATCGAGAATAATCAAATAGGAAAGAGGATATTTGTTAACATACATTATTTAAATGAGTTACCTCTTAGCCAAAATGTCTTTGACCGCAGAGAGCTCAGTCATAATAATATTTTCTTTTTTCTTTATTGTAAAACTACCAAGCATACATTTGGAATAAAACAAAATTTATGGATATTACGGAATTTTACAAAGCACCCATTTTAACGGGGACGTTGGCATTAGGCTTGCGTGAATCGGGAATGAAGAAAACAAGTCAATGCTCGGCATGAAAATAAATACTGTTGGTATTTTGTATGTACGTTACGTTTTATTTTCGCCTATTGTGAACAGATTTCAATGATTTTATTTAAAAAAAAAAAGGATAATATATCTCAAAGCCTACCATTTTAATTTGCACTTTTAAACACTTTAGTGGAAAAAAAAAACTATCCGGTTGATAAATAAAGGCGAAGTTTTGGATGAAACTGTTCAAAAAATTAAGCATTTAATAAAAAGTCAAAACCGACTACAAGCAACTAAAACGAATAATATAATTTCCACATAATGACCGACTTAAAATCCTGTGAAAATTATATTTATTGGTTTAGTACTTAAAAAACGTTTATCCCTTCTGGGCTTTTGGCCAAGATCAAAAGTGTAGTACTTTTAACTAAGCAGTAGTAAATGCAGAAGATGTAGAGGGGTTGAAATAAAATAAAATATAAATAAATAAACAAAAGTCGGACGTAGGTGAATATTGATGATGATCATCATTATCATCATCATTACAGCCCTTCACAAGTTCACTGCTGAACATAGGCCTCCCCCAAGGAATGCCACAAAGCACGGTCCGGAGCCACCTGCATCCATCGACTTCCTGCATATCTTACCAGGTCGTCACTCCATCTAGAGGGAGGACGACCTACGCTTCGTCCGCCGGTACGAGGCCGCCACTCGAACCTTTTTTCCCCATCGGTTGTCGGTTCTTCGAGCTATATGGCCGGCCCATTGCCACTTCAGCTTACTAATTCCTTGGGCTATGTCGGTCGCTCTGGTTCTACTGCGGATCTCCTCATTTCTAAGTTTATCACGCAGAGAAACTCTGAGCATAGCCCTCTCCATAGCTCGCTGAGCGACCTTGAGCTTCCTCATATGGCCAGCAGTGAAGGACCACGGCTCAATTCCATAGGTCATCACTGGCAATACGCACTGGTTGTACAGTCTCATTTTGATGATAATGATAACATTTATCGCTTATAGTGGCGGTCTAGTAGTAGTAGTAGAGTGTCCACTACCCCATATCGTCCTGTAGTTGTCGTAAGAGGCGGCAGCGGGACACTGAAACAGAAGGTGGGCAGCAGCATCTTCCTTATAACAAATCAAAATAATAAAAAACTGCGGTTGCCAAGCCCTCTGCCAAGCGTGGCAAATATGGCCAAATCCTCCCTATGAGGTAATCTATTGGAGAGGCCTATGTTTAGCAGTGGAGTTTTAAAGGCTGTAATGGATGGATATATAGAAGACAATATACCAGGAGTACATGACCCACTGAGAGGTGAACTATGGAAAATATCCTTCCTATGAGGCAATATATGGGAGAGGCCTTTGTTCAGCAGTGGAGTTTTAAAAGCTGTAATGGATGGATATATAGAAGACAATATACCAGGAGTACATGACCCACTGAGAGGTGAATTATGGAAAATATCCTTCCTATGAGGCAATATATGGGAGAGGCTTTGTTCAGCAGTGGAGTTTTAAAGGCTGTAATGGATGGATATATAGAAGACAATATACCAGGAGTACATGACCCACTGAGAGGTGAACTATGGAAAATATCCTTCCTACGAGGCAATATATGGGAGAGGCCTTTGTTCAGCAGTGGAGTTTTAAAGGCTGTAATGGATTGTTTAAAAGGCATATTATATAACAGCAAACAAAAACAAAAACGATTGCACAAATGTCGTAAACGAATATGAAAGAGTTATTGAGCTTCTCCTCGTGCAATGAACTTCAACCAATAAGCATATTCTAGTTTAGGAAAGATAATTTTATTCATTTATATTATAATATTTCGAGAGTAACGCGGATGTAGGCGTCTCAAGGCCGTGCATTGTGGCATTCCTTGAAAGACGTCTATGCTAATATCCAGGTCTTTTAGAATTAATCGGTAGTGGATATATTAAAAAGAACGTTCTAAGGCTAAAGTACGGTTAGGCATATTTAATGTAATAATTGCTAAAGTAATTATTGTATTGCTAATTTTTGAATGTTGCGTACATATCACTCATTAACGGCTAAATGACACCTTCGCAGAATTCATTTATTAACATAAACAGTTAAACAGAAATGGAAAGCAACCCGAATGTACACACGAGTAAGTCCATCCGGCAAGTGGGCCAGTGCCATCCGAAGGCTTATTTCATTTTCGCAATAGCCTAATTTACTTTTATGCGTAAAACATTCTTGAATGCCAGTTTCCAATAGTGATTTGCCGGAGAAAGATTATTCTGTGTATCGTTATGATTAAATAAATATCTTTATACTTCTTATGTGTGTGGGTGTGAGTGTGTGTGTGTATTTCTTTAACTTGTTCTTCGGCAAAGGCATCTTAAAGTATTTGTAAGGTCAGTTTTGGTTTTCAACCCAGCTTCACCTATTTGAATTTTTGATGAATTGGAAATTTTATCCAAATTGTCTATTGTTGAGATATTTACAAATGTATTTGATTTATTTTTTATGTGATTGCAATAAGATATCAATGTAATATTTTTTATTTATTCTAACATATTGATTCTTAAATGATTTATATCCTACGTTCTATAACTTAGTATATAAATTAAAAAAAATCCAATCTACCAGGTGGGATTGTTTTCAAGCACAATAAAATATAAAAAAAATAAAAAATAACATGTATACTAAATAATTACTAAAGTCAAGTTATAAAAAGCCCATTTTTTCTAATGCCCTAGTAATGTATCTTTTCGTATGGTAAATGTTTTGAACTGCAGGACTCAGTCCTCACAGAACGCATCTGCGATTAGCTTTTTAATCAAGGATAGATGTAGAGGCTTATGGACCATAGCATTAATTTACCATCAGGTGGACTGTGAGCTCATTTTTCACTCTTATTCTATAAAATAAAATAAAAAGGTAATTTATATGACAGAAAACAAATCAAAACTTTTAAACCATCAGATTTCTATAAAAATAAATATTCCAACTTCCAAATTCAAATTAAAGATTTGTAATGCATTTTTATTTAATTGTGCTATAGCTTTGGTATCGCTAATTATAAGCTGGTTTATACCAAGTTTTTCATATATGGCTAAACATTTTTCTGCGCGAATAATTATAACTTTTAAAAGAATCTTCGAATTGAAATCTCGGAGTCACGATTATATCTCACATTTGTAATTCTGTGTTTTTCTGGTGTGTTTATATTTTACGTTAATGCGTCATTTTTATTATTAGTCGTATTTTTATTTGAAAATATAAAAGCATAGTTACATTAAACTAAAAGCCCGGTCACACTAGATGTTGTTGTGGCGTATTAGAATCAAACACTTTCCACCAAAATATGTATTGTTAAATGAGGTAACTTAAGTTAATAATTATAAATCTCTGCGCTGCATTAAATGTTAATGATAATAATAACAATTATATAATAATTCAGCCAGCGGCTGTCTGAAGAAATTCGACAGTTAAGGCGGCAGCAGCAGGTCCATATCGTTCCGGTGATTCTCTCTACCGCGTAAATTGCTCCTAAATCCCTTACTGAGAATTTAGCGAAGCTGGGTATTTCAGTGAGGGTGAGGAACATGATACAAAAAGCCGTAATCTTGGATACGACAGCGATAGTACGTCGCCACCTCTCAATTTAAATAATAAAGGCGGGATCTTGGGATCAGCCGATGCCGCATCTAAAACCGCTAGTGGTATAGAGCTAATGGTAGTGAGAATTAAAATAATTATTAATATTGTGTTATACCACGTACTGGCGGAGTAAGAGAATCAACTATCCCATACCAATCCGTAGTTGTCGTAAAAGGCGAATGAGGGAAACTGAAACCGGAAACGGACAGCAGCATCTTTCTGATAACAACACAAAATAATTAGAAACTGCAGTTGCCAACCACCTACCAAGCATGGCAACTACGTATTACAAAAAAATCTAAGAGGGTAAGCAAAAGTTTAGTTGTGTCTCTGGTTGGCAAATTAAAAAGCAAGGAGTACAACAATTTCACATGCCTTCTGTTTGTTACAGGTGCGGGTTCCGAGTACAACATGTCAATCGTGAACTCCTACAAAAGGTTTATGGAGAGGAACAGTGGTAAGTCAATACACTTTATTAATTATATTTATTGTACCTGCACCGTTGGTCTAGTGGTTATAGTAGTGCGACTGGTGATCATGATGTCTCGGGTTCTAACCCCAGGTCGGGCCAAGAAACAGTTATTGAGTTTTTTCATCAAATAATACAGTAGCTGCCCGGAGTCAGGAAGTTGGCGGTATTTCACCCCGTGCCTCACAAATCACGTAAAGCCGTTGATCCTGCACCTGATCTCTCTCCGGTCGTGTCGGTTTATCGTCCCATCGGACTATGAGAGTGAGAGAATAGAGAGTGCTCCTGTGCTTGTGCATAAACTTGGGCACTATAATCGTGTCTTGCGCCGATGGTTACGCTCCGTTGAGGTTGGCCGCCGTGACCGATATTTGGTGTAGAGGACATTATTATATTTATTGTATTGTGTGTGTAATACACACCTGTAATAATACCTGCAATACCTGTAATAAATATATAATATACTTACTGTATTTTCAAATTCTAAACATTTACTATTATATAATTATATATTTATATTAATTCTTAACAATTACAAGAAGTTAAATAAAAGTTGAATGTATTTTTAATATAAACTAAAGCTAATGCGATAATTATATATTATAAATGGGTTATTTTATTAGTTAATATTGCCTATTTATATTTATGTTTGCTTGGCATAGGCCTATTGGTTTTATAGAACTGACTGTAAACTTCTTTCAAGAACTTTTCGTTATTCAGCACAGCTTTTAAAAATGTAAGTTTGGCACTATTTTTGTTTAAAACTTACATTCAGTTTGATGGTAAATCGCAAGTCATCTAGCTTTACAAGGGTCACCGAAGCATTGGAATTACGCTATCTGTTCCTTCAAGCAACTATCTGCACAGTGTACGGCAAGGCTCTGAGTCATAGTGCTAGCTTCTGCTTCACGGCAATCTCGCAGATTACTTGCCATCTTCTCGACTCAATCCTTGACACTTGCGGATTCATCGACATCTAGACTGCACATTCGTCTGCCGGTCTGAGCAGGGGGTGATGTGGCTGCGCTGTCATCGCGCCACAAGTGAAAACTACCAAAGCTTAAAATTACGCTATCAAAGTTCAGAAGTATTGCACTATATATAGAACAGCTCAGTACTAACACACGGAGCATTGGCCGCCCTCCGGGCTGAATAATGAGATTTGCCACTGCCAAATTTATACCGCAGTATTCCAGAACTTTGATCCAGATTGATTATGGTAGAGCTATGCTGCAGCTATATTATAGTTGTAGCACGAATGGGTCGGCTCGAGCGGGGAAGGACCACGCTCTCACAGAAAACCAGCGTAAAATAGCAGCTTAACGCTGCTGTGTTTCGTATGGTGAGTGTAGTGAGAACCGGAGACCCTTTTTACTGGCAAAGAGGCATTCCATATTAGTCCTCACGGGTGACAACGCATCTGCATCTTGATAGATAGATAGATAGATGCAGATGTCTATGGGTCACAGTAACCACTTACCATCAGGTGGACTATGTGCTCGTTTTTCACCCGATCCTATAAAAAAAAAACTTTCATCGCCACATGTCATAATACCTAGTTAATTTTTCTTGACTTATGGTGCCATTAGTCCTCCGTTTCGCACTTCAAGTGTTTTTATTCTTTAGACATGCAGTTCACTATGTTTTCCTTCATCGCCTAACACGTGGTAAATCAGCACTAAACAATGACATACAATTAACATTTTCATTGGCCGGTGAAGCTCCAAATCGATAGTCTTGTGTACCTGCTGTAAAATTACGGAAATTGCGGCGAACGCTTAGGCCTGATATATCGAGGGCGTAATAGGCAATAATATATGTAAATCAAGTACAGGAAATAAATTATATAATATATTCTCGAAGACCTTGTAAAACTTAATAAATATGCATATGTCAAAATAACAGCTTTTAACTAGATGCATAATAAGGAACTATATATGGTACATATAACAAAAAAATTAAAGATTTTTGTCTGTCTGTCTGTCTGTTTGTACTAATCTCCGAAACGGCGAAACCAATTATGACGGGACTTTCACTAGCAGATGTTAAGTTATAAGGAATAACTTAGGCTTCTTTTATTTAAAAAAAAAGAACATGGGTTCCGCACAAAAAAAAATCGGTAAGTATAATAATATCTACTTACTAAAAATAATTAATTGCGTACGGAGTCGCGAGCTAGTGTATTAATGTATATCGAATTAAAAAAAAACAAAAAGTGCTGTACTTAACGCGAATGTTTTATGTAAATTATTATATTTCGCTGAAATGGCTGAACCGATTTTAATGAGTAGATGTAGAGTAGAAAAATAGGGAATAAAGATTTTAACGTACCTATTTAAAGGAGTAAATATATATAAATAATATAATAATGTAATAATGAGTATAAATTATAAAAAAGAGAAATATAATAAAAAAGTACAACCGACTTCAAAGACAAAAATCCACATAATTGCTTCTGAAGTCGCTGCTAAAACAGTAAGTATTACAATTCAACTAATGTTTAATTATTACAATCAAAAGTTGTCAACTGTAATAAGCCGTAACAAAGTATATGTAGTAGCTGTTTTATTATTAATAACTTCATGACCTAATCAAATCAAAAAAAAAAAGCGGCCAAGTGCGAGTCGGACTTGCCCATGAAGGGTTCCGTAAGTAACATAATTTACGATTTATGACGTATTAAAATAAAACTACTTACTAGATCTCGTCTAAATCAATTTTCGGTGGAAGTTTACATGGTAATGTATATCGCATATTTTTTTTTAGTTTTATCATTCTCTTATTTTAGAAGTTACAGGGGAGGGGGGACACACATTTTACCACTTTGGAAATCTCCCTCGCGCAAACTGTTCAGTTTAGAAAAAAATTATATAAGAAACCTCAATATCATTTTTGAAGACCTCTACATAGATTCCCCATACGTATGAGTATTATGAAAAAAATTTTTTGAGTTTAGAGTGCCGAGTATTCGGCAGAGTACTCGGCCCAATCTAGGCCGAGTACCCGGTGGCCGAGTACTCGGCGAATCACTACTCGTTCCATGTCTAGTTCTAAGTATGGGGTACCCCCAAAATTTATTGTTTTTTTTTTCTATTTTTGCGTGAAAATCTTAATGCGGTTCACAGAATACATCTAATTACCAAGTTTCAACAGCATAGTTCTTATAGTTTCGGAAAAAAGTGGCTGTGACATACGGACGGACAGACAGACAGACATGACGAATCCATAAGGGTACCGTTTTTTTTCATTTGGCTACGAAACCCTAAAAAATGACATAAAATTATATTGTAACTTTTTTCTATAGAATAAAGGCGACAAACGATCACACAGTCCACCTGATGGTAAGTGGATGCCGTGGTGGATGGTATGGTAAGTGGTGATTAAGTATCAAAATTGAGATGAGTTTCCACATCTAAGGATTAAGATGGAGTACCTCATTTTCAGTATAAAGGGTATCCGGTTCTCTAGACTCACTATACGAAACACAACAGCATTGAGCTGCTATTTTACGTTGGTATTCTCTGAGAGTCTGACCCTTTCCCGGTCGAGGTGACCTAGTCGTGCTACAAACAACATAGCTGCAGCATGTGTCTATCGCGTAATTAATTATAGTTATTAATTAATGATATTTCCTCTAAATTATATCATCTATTGTTTTTATTTAATTTTTCTATGCTATCATAAACACCTGTTATTTAAAGCATAATAATTAGGTTTGTAAAGTGTATATAAATATATAATGTTTTTGTAATAACATAATATACAAGTGCGTAATTTTATGAAATTGATAATTTGATATTGTAATATTTTTACGTCTTATATTTTCATAAATTGTGAAGACAATATCGCAGGGCAATTGCCATTTTTGTGTTTTTTGCACATCTTGTCCGTGACCATATTTGATTACGTCTGTTGTATTTTTTTTAAATATCACTTGATGGCACACTTGTTCATATGAAGATGATAAACATTTCTCGAGTTTTGTACCGGTTAATGTTTATCTTTTGTAAATGTCATATCATCTTTTAAATAGTATTAACCCCACTACGACTCTAGTTATTAAAAATTGGCGATTCAAATAAATTATAATTAAATATTTTAAGCTATGATATTTTGAGAGATATTTTTACAATATTTTTATTAGATGGAGTGACGACCTGGTAAGATATGAATGAAGTCAATAGATGCAGTTTGCCTAGTGTGAGCGTATATTTTTAGGTACTCGATACCGAGAAAGTTATTATTAGTTATTATTATTAGTTATTAAGTTGGCACTGATTTTATTCTATACAAATTGTAGTTAACTTTCTCGGTATCGTGTACGTAAAAATATATACTTGCACTAGGCACTCAGGTGACCCAGGACCGTGTTAATTAGCTTGCTAGGGTAAGGGTTCCTCCGTGTAGTGGCGGCTTAATGGAATCCTTCGGACAATTTCATTTTTTGGTGTCGTAAGAGGCGACTATTAGACATGGCCTATGTCTTCCAATAAAGGGTGATAATACTATGTCGTTTGCGTTAGACGTTAAGTATCCAGACTGGCAAGAAGGGCGAAAAAAGAAAGAAACAAAATAAGTTTATTTAGTAAAATATTATAACAAAAATAGCATATTAAAAATATGATACCCAACTCAGCATAGTCTTGGTACCGACAGAGCACTTCACCGCTGATTCTCCGTGGGTGCTGACGAATATTTAACAAAAATATAAAAAATAAACATAACAGTATATTCATTATTATACAATGATATGTAAAATGCATACAAACATCTAAACATGACACATATATGGTACCACATACATATTAGTATTTAGTATGTATATTACGTGAAAGATGCGAAACCTCTGGTACTGCGATCATAAAACCGCTTGCGAGGAGTGAGAATCAAGTTAAATCGTCCCTAAAGGCCCGAGCCTAGCAGTAGACAGTTATGGGCTGATGAGGAAGGGGCATTTTTCAAAATTCCTCTTTTATATTTTTCTTTTAAATTGACGCATTTCTAACGGTCTCTATTGTCACCGCTAATTGTAATAATATTCCAAAGCTTCATTTTTACGTAATCAATTAAATACCTATTACCTATTTCAACTAATATCGATGTACAAACGCTAGTGACTTCGCAACTGTAAAACCGGTTTTTGTTTTGTTTTTTTAAAGGCACAACTTTATATTAATAGCGTATTATATTGATTCGATAAAAACAAATAACAACGTTAATGGAATATTTTCCAATAAAATTTAGTTCAATTGTGTTGTTATTTTTTTTTGTTAAAAATATTCAGTGTCGCGCTCTTTCGTTACAGAACCGGTCCAGTCTTTTTATAATTGCGTAATTTAATTTTTGGTTTGTTGCAATACGATTTTTGCAACATTCAACCTTCGCTGAGCATAAAAGGCCACATATTATCAGTCACTGTATTTTTATCTATCAGTTTATTATGTGCAAGCATACATAGCTCGCTGCTAAGATTTATTAATCACCTATTGATTTCGCTGCGTAGTGGCGACGTAAAAAAAAATCCACTGCCCGGGTGCCACGGGATCTGCCACGGATGCGGCTGAAGGAAACTGAAACAGGGATATGGCCGCTTCTCATTTCCTGATAACAACTTCAAAATAATATTAAGATATTTGCCCGCCAAGCGACTCACTTTTATGTCGGGTGCACACTTACCGAACCAGAGCAATTAAATACTAAAAACGAAAGCAAAAAAAGCAGTAAAAATTTTAATTTTAAGGTGTTGAAATTTAATTGTACAACATTATATATTATTTATTGGTCGATAAACTTTCGCCTAGGGCGTCGCTTCCCGACTCTGCCGTTCACCTTTGCAACATAAATTTGCTTTGTCACTCTTTCCTCATTCATTCTTTCTACATGATCAAACCACCGAATTGGCGATATATTGGAAATGGACCAAATCAAGGGTACCTTTAACCGACGAGCGTGTATGCGTAGGTATATGGATGTGGAGGAAACGAGAGAGGTGTGTCAGGATCGTTCCAAATGGAAGTTCATAATCTCTGCCTACCCCTCTGGGCGACAGACTTGAGTGTTTATGTTTATGTTTTTATATAAATTTATTCTAAGCTTATATATCTATTAATGTGGCCTTATTTATATTTATGATAATTATCAAAGACCAGTAATATCATAAACTTTTAAAAATTCGCAAAAAATCTCCAAATATTTTGCATAAAATATAGCCTAGATCACCCCTGGCATTTTTCTATCTGTTCGTCAAGTTTTATTACATTGGCAATTCAATTTAATTTCGATTATTAATCCGGACAGACAGAAAATGAAAAAAAAAAATTGATATATAGTTGTATTTGCTGATATTGATGCTCATTATTCGCACTGCGATAAATTACGCAGTGACATTTTGTGTTATATTGGTAAAAAACAATTAAATCTTGCAACTAACTTCAAATAAAGATGGCTAGAGATGCATTATGACCTCTGAACACTAAGATGAAATGCAATATATATAATATATAATATAAATATGGTACATGTATCTAAACTATATATATATATATATATATATATATATATATATATATATATATATATATATATATATGTATATATACATAGATATCTAAACTATGTTCTATCCCGATAAAACTCGCGTTGCCATCCACATCACCTGGATGCTTGGCGGTCCACTACTGCGATTTACAAGGGGTTTTCTTCCGCGCACGACTAATTTGTGGAATCGTTTACCACCGGCGATTTTTCCGGGACAATACGACTTAGGGACCTTTAAGAAACGAGCTTACTCCTTTTTAAAAGGTCAGCAATGCACTTGCAATTCTTTTGGTGTTGCAGTTGTTCATGGACGGTGGTCTACACTTACCATCAGGTCAGCCATATGCTTGTTTGTGAAAAAATATTCTATAATAAATAATCTAGTAATAAAATTGCATTATATGAACCAATTATCAGACAATGAAATAGTAATAAGGACAGATATTACACTAGACTACAATAGACTATTTAAAACTCGGCACAGACTATTTTTCTTTCAAATATTATTAGAATATTAATTAATAAGACTATTTTTCTTTAAAATAGACTGTGCTACGGAGTTTTATTAATGTACTGCATTTTAAGAAAAGTAATTAAAGAGATCTAAAAAAAATTTTACTATTCGAAATTTCCCAAGCATTATCTACACGTTTAAGACTAAATAATTCTGTTATTTCACATTTGTATTCAATGACACTCGATGCACTTACCGCCTACGTGATAGGACTGGTTATAGCCTAATTATCTTTGTGGTAGGTCTTAATAAGACTCCTTTCAAATGTTGGGTGTTTGGGTTTAAGCTTCCAAGTGAGAAATAACATTTAGAAAAACGTTTGAAATAATCTTGTAGATATTTTTCACCTCCTCAGCGATTGCATATGATGGCTTGATAGGGCAGTGGAGTATTTAGTTGCGTTATTGAGGGGCTGCAGATTCGGATCTCACACGGAATAACTATTTGTATCGTCTGCAAATAATAGTTCCTAGTCTGGATGACAGTCCATTTGCAATTTATGTATTTTAAACGCCTCCATGATACAGGCAAAATTCGTAATGTGGGGGAGTAACATCTTTTAAAAAGAAATAAAAATATATCTATAATTTTTCACGCTTGTTATGCAGAGGGGTAGTCATAGACTATAGATTTGTATTTGGCACGATCCTGGCACAACTCTCTCGATTCTTTCACATCATGCTCGTCGGTTATGGGTACTCTTAATTTACCTACTGTCTATATAGCGCCTTTTTGGTTGAGGAACTTCTATCGGGCGTTGCTTGCCGCCTCTGTCTGAAATAAAAAGTTTCATTTAATGGTGAATATAAAACAAGATATAATTTTTAACCCCTTCTCTAAATTTTACACTTGGTAGAGCCATGCTGAACCAGAAACCCTTTTTACTAAAAACGAGGCAATACATCTTGGTTCTCAGGGGTGAAAACGCATTTTGACTCTTAATCGAGGATAAATGTAGATGTTTATGAGCCTCAGCATCCACTTACCATCCACACTTAGCGTCCTGGGATTTTGTGCTCTTTTCCACTTCAAAGCAAGAGTGAATACGTGGTAGAGCCATGCTGCAGCTATATTAGAAGTATAGTTGTAGCACGAATGGGTCGGGTCGACCGGGGAATGATCACGCTCTTACAGAATACCAGCGTAAAATAGCAGCTTAATGCTGCTGTGTTGTGTATGGTGAGTGTAGAGAACCGGAGACCCTTTTTACTGGAAACGAGGCGTTCCATATTAGTCCTCACGGGTGACAACGCATCTGCGTTTTAATTCGCAAACGAGGATAGATATAGATGTCTATGGGCCATAGCAACCACTTACCATCAGGTGGACTGTGTGCTCGCTTGTCACCCTATCCTATAAAAAAAGAATAAGTGAATAGGCTTTTGTAACGATAGTACAGTGCGATTAATCATCTATGGCTTCATCACACTGGCTTATAATAATTAAAAAATAATCAGTATTATAAGATTATTCTGTATAATAGAGTACAAACATAACTTTTTACGAATAATTATGCACGTGTTATTATTAATCATTGAACGAAATGTATGTATTAGACATCCAAGCAAAGCAATGTTTATATCTGCATGCAGCTGTATGCAAATGTGATGCAACGCATGCAAGTTTATTTCTTAGCCTATATTTCTATATTACATATATTCGATCCATCACTGTCTAGTTGTGACAGTATTTATCGATAATGCCTAGACGCTTACTAAGTACAAATGACCTTTTATCGTTGCGACTTTAATGGCTATTTATTGTTCCCATGCACTTAAACGATTACGAAAATTAATGTAACTTAAGCAATGATGCCTAAAATTATCCATCATTACAAAGCCTTCGAAGTCGACTGCTTATACATAGGCCTACCCCAAGTAATGCTACCAAATACAGTTCAAATAAATATAGGTCCCAAGTAATACCACCATCACTCCATGTAGTGGGAGGCAACACTGTCTCGGCTTACCGGTACGAGGCTGCTACTCTGAACACTTCCTTCTTAATAGGATGTCGGTTCTTCGAGCTATTTGGCCGACACATTGCCATTTCAGCTTACGTATCTTTTGAGATATTGTGATTATGCGGTTTCAGTTTCTAAAATCTTTGTTACCTAGAAAAACTCCGTGTCATAGCCTTCTCCATAGCTCGCTAAACGACTTTAAGCTTCCTAATACGTTCGGCATTGGAGGATTATAATTAAAAAATTAGTTAATCCCAAATACCAAGATTTTTTTAACAATCTCTGAATATAAACGACAAGTTGTTTTTTTTTAAATACCGAGATAAATATTATTTAATACTTTTTAAATAAACACAAGATCCATTATTTAATTGTCTATGGGCCACAGCATCCACTTACCATCAACTGAACTGTATGTTCGTTTATCAACCTTCTTTAAAAAAAATCAATATAAACTATTATAATATGTTGAGTGACGAATACAATGTTAAAATTCTTTTTTTCCAGATCCTCGGACAGAGAACTGGTGGCTGATGTCAGGGCCAGGTCCTCTCCTAACGCTACTTGCCACGTACCTTTACTTTTGCACTTCTGTGGGTCCACGGTACATGAGAGACAGGAAACCGTACTCGTTGAAGCAGCCTATCATAGTTTACAATGTGATCCAAATATTTATGAGCATGTTTTTGGTTTATGAGGTAAGTACTAGTTTATTTCTACATTATTTATATATTTATTCCAGTCAACCATTAGGCTTAGCAGAGTTAGATAATATTGAATAAGAGACAATGCAGTAGATAGCCTGAATAGAAAAAGAAAATTAAAGGATTTTATAAAAGTGAAATAAATGCAAATCCACATAATATATTTATTTAAGTTTTAATTGTTTATTACTTAAGCGTTGATGTTAATGTTAATTTACTTTATTTTTATTATACTGTACCCTGGGTGTGTCGTGAGCTCGTAAAAGTTGACTATGGGGAATATCCAGCCAGCATATTTCACCAGGTAATATTTTGTGAAATTGTATAGATGTATAAATCTGGATTATAAGTTTTAAGGCTAGTTTTTCAATGGCCAGATAAAAGTAATCCGTCGAATAAATAATAACCTGACTGAATATAAAAATTAAACAATTGCACTATTTTATATATAAAATTGTAATATTTTTTTTTTGCTTTTTTGCATAAAAATGCAGATGCGTTGTCACCCCTGAGGACTCAAATGTAATGCCTCATTTCGAATGAAATGTTTAGAACTGCGACCGTCAATCCACCTGACAAGCGTCAGATAATGTAAATAAACCCTTTACGGGAGAGGTGCAAGTGCGGCCGAGGACTGTGTGACTAATACGTGTAAACTGTGTCCAGTATGTAATCATCAAGCACCAAAAACATAATAAAAAAATTATTATGTATCGACACAATAAACGTAGCCTGCGTTTTTTATCACAGAAGACGTTCTTGTTTTCAAACATTTATCTCATTTGCTGATTATAAATGTATTGTTACATTCAATAATAATAACTCGAAGAGTAACTTAGAGGTTAACCGCTCCCCGTAAGTCTCACAGTACGCGAGTAACTTGAGTTCGATCACTGCCAGCGCCAGTGAAATAGTTAGTTGCATTTTAATTTCTGATTTACCACGTGATGTGTGAAGAAAACATTTTGAGGAGACCTGCATGTTTAAGGAATTAAATATTTAAACATCAGGTGAATTCCGCTAAAAGTATTGCTGCGGCGGCGATATAAGCGCTACATAATGGTCTCAGGAGTAAGAAGGCATATGCCTAGCTGTGAGACACGAGTAGTTCCTTCATTATTTTCTTTTAGTTTACTTTTCTAATTTACGTACACCTTCCCTTTTTGCCATTCGTTGTAAACAACAGTTTTTTCGCGCAAAAAGATTGTCTGGAAGAAATCGTTTACAGACCGCCTATTATTGTACCTTATATATAATATAATAAATTTCGTTTTAATGTGTATTGGTGTACAATAAATAATATATTTATTAATTGATTGAATGTGTAACGTAATTAGCTATGTCTACACCAGTACGCTTTTCATTTCACTTTTATCTTCATTTTGCGTTTCAACTTTCAGTTCGTCTTGTGTCAAGCGCTGTGCCATAAGATGCATGCAGCTTATCGTCTATACCCGTGCGCTTTCAATTTCACTTTCATGTTCATTTTGCGTTTCAACTTTCATTTTGTCTTGCGTCAAACGCCGTGCTATAAGACGCATGCAGCTTATCGTCTATAGCAGTGCTCTTGTTGCATGCAACTCGTCTATACCTCAAGCGACTCGGTTAGGATTGGTTAGAGATGGATTAGAGATGGACGCGGCACTAGTAGTTATCAGTGCGGCATATTTTGTGTTAAGCACAGTTAAAAAATCGCAAGAAAAGTAGAATCTGGATGAAAGATTATTTGAGGAAACGGAACAATACAATATTAAAAGATTTAGAGCTAAACAATGACATTATTTTTAATAATTTCACACGAATGACTAAAGCCACTTTCTACAAGCTTTTGAAAATAGTGGAGCCAAAGATTACGAAACATAAAACTCATTATCTAATGTTTAAACTTTGTCTTCCGCCATTTTGTTTACTAAAATGCACGAAATATTGCATGTAAACCCACCGGTGACGAATCAGCGTTCGCTAGATGCATGCGCTGTTTTTGGACTAGTTTTAGCGCATGCGCTACTGCATGCACTATGGTTTCTCAGGCATGCGTTAGAGGAAGACGCAAGATGAGCAGGAAAGCGCATTGTTGTAGACATAGCTAATCATCGTTTTATCGAACTTTGCCCTTTTTGTTAAGTGGTATAAACCCGCTTTGAAAACTTGCTCAAACAAGAACAAGAACCACATACTTATCTGATATCTGCTATATATTTTGTTTTATTTTGCACCAGCCAGTATTATTTATTTTATATTATTGTAAAAAAATTGTTTACTATGGATACTTGAGACGTGTTTTTTATTTGGCCTTGGTAATTTTCAACACTTATTAGGATCTTGGATACGAGACGATTTCGAATTTGCTTTCCGCCAGTAATTTTCAACACTTATTAGGATCTTGGATACGAGACGAGTTCGAATTTGCTTTCCGCCACTAGTTTCTCGGAATTCACGAGATTTTTAAGACCATTCTCATATTCGCCACCTCTGAATTTAAAATGATATTGTTTATGTAAAGTTTAATTGAAAAATTGCTAAAGTTTATAAAATAATACCATCCTCGGAACTACATTTACAACACAACTACTAAAACTCATCGACTGACGTAGTTGTATTATAATCTTAGTTAAATATATTAGAATTTCATAATAAAAACACAGCCAAAAGATGGCACTGTGTGCAGGTTGTAATCAAACTCTCCCAAAGAAAGAGTTTATGATATGCTCATTATGCGATAAATCATACGATCTACAGTATGCAAGTGTCTCAGATAAACGTTATTATAATATTATGACTATTGGCCTCAAAAAGAAATGGAAATATCAGGAATGCATTTGTAAAATGCCGAAAACAAATACTAGTGATACTTCAGTAAGGTCTTCACCAACAGAAATGGTTTATAATAAATCATCTAAACAAAATGTGACGTTACGGATGAAACAAAATTGTAAAGCCACAAAAAATTTTACGAATGAACTAAGCAATACCGAATCGGACTAGGAAGAGATTACTGAAGATACCCAAAGTGTTCTACACCTAAGCATAAATCAAACCCCTCTACAAAACTTTTCAAATAGCGTTAACTCTTTTCCCTTTCTTATTGAAAATATCATACCCATTTAAGATATTAACAAGCTTCTTAAAAAAAACAAATGTATTATTTCCGAATTACGAGCTGCGTTTTGGAGTGAAATTGAAATAGCGATTTGTAGACTAAAATCTGAATTAGAGCAAAATAAAAATCAGATAAAGGAAGAACAAATACGGAAAATGTGTTACAATTAATTTCTATAAAAGATAAAAATAAGCGCATAATAATAGGAGGAGATTTTAACACAGATTTTTTAACGAACAAAACTATCTAAAGCTCTAAAAAATCTATGTTAAAAACCAAAATTAACTCTTCAACACCAAATGTTAACGTTTAACTTTCATCAAACCGTAAAAGAAGCTACTAGAATCACTCAGAATAGTTCAACAAAAACAAAAAATGTATCGACTTAATTTTTGTAAATTTCAACAATAAAAATATGCAAGTGGCTGTACAGGAGCTAGGTTACTCCGACCATAAAGGAGTATTCTTAAAAATATCATTAGGTATGAACCCCCTACCCCAGCAATTTAAAATAGAAAGACGACTCTTTAATACAAAAAAAAATATAAATCTATTTAAAACCGAACTACAAAAGATATCATGGAATAATATACTTGACTCTAAAAATAATGTAAATGAAAATTACAATATATTTATCCAAACTTTGCATAACCTACTAGATAAATGTATACATTTAGAGCAGTAATGAAAAAAACTTATCTTACAAAGTGATTAAAACTATCTTGTCGCAATAAAAGATCGTTAAGATTACTTGCGACGAAATCAAAAAAATGTTGTACTAAAAATCATTATAAATCTATACTAAAATATTAAAGAAAACAGTATATATCGCTAAAATGATTGCAAATATAAGCAGATTTCAAAAAACAGGCAACAAAACTCAAATCATGTGGCAAATTATAAAAAATTAAACTAATAAAAATACACCTAAGATAATAAAAAAATCTAACAATAAAATCAGGAGAGCACACCGTCAGTGAACCGAAGTCTGTAGTGGATTATTTAAACATATTTTTTGCATCTATAGGAAATTCCTGTACAAATTAAAAAAAAACATATAAATATTGACAACATTGCAAACAATACTTTCTTCTTAAGTCCTATGAAAACTTATGAGGTACATACACTTTACTTATACGGAATTTAAAATATAAAAAATGCTTTGGGGTAGACGGAATCCCACCTATGTTAATAAAGAATTGTGTTTTTGAATAAACTATACCGTACACGTACTTAATAAATCAGTCTTTCACTGAGGGTACTTTACCAGGTGCATTAAAGATATCTTTAGTAAAACCGGTCCATAAAAAGGCTGATATAACCGATCCCAATAATTATCGTCCTATTGCGCTATTGCCCACATCAGCAAAAATATTTGAAAGTGCAATGGCCAAAAAAATTTATTCTTTTTATTTTTAATAAATGGTTTTAGAAAAAACCGATCTACTATTTTGGCTATATACAAATATATACAAAAATCACTTTACATAATTAATAGTAAAAATATGCCGTAGGCCTACTACTAGAGATGAGTATGGCCTATGATAGAGTAAGTTACAAAATACTTTTAGATAGACTTTATGCTACTGGAATTCGCAGAATTGCTCATAATTGGTTCAGATCGGATTTGGAAAATCGATCACAAATTGTTGAAATCCAGAATACAAACTTCGAAACCGGAGAAATCCAAAAAGTCAGATCAGACAAAATCCCGATTATAGGATCGATTCCTCAAGGTAGTGTCTTAGGTTGTATTCTGATTCTTATATATAAACAACCTCCCACAAGAATTAAAAGAAGAATGTATTATCTTTGCAGACGATGTATCTATATTGCTCTCATCTACAGACAATTGTGAATTAAACGAAAAATTAAATACATCACTCAATAAAACACACGACTTGTTAGAATTACATAATTTAGAGCTGAATATTACAAACAAAACTAAATTAATCCTGTTTAAAACTTATCAAAAATGACCTCTACAAATAAACTTTAACTACAAAAACTTCATACGGTACGGTCAACTCTACAACATTACTCGGTATTGAAATAGAGACATATCTAAATTGGAAACCCCACATTCAAAAATTAACGAGTAAATTGTCCTTATTTATATTTGCAATCATACATTTGAAAAAAGTTACTAACTTAAAATAGCTCTTTCGGCGTATTATGCGTATGCTCAGTCTACACTATATTATGGAATAGTCAGTCATATGAGGTAACTGTACTGACATAGATAATATTTTCAAATTGCAAAAATGATGTATCAGAATCATGACAAATATAGAAAAGACGGACTCATGCAGACCACATTTTAGAAAACTTGGTATACTCACACTTACGTCTATTTACATTATTGGAATGTTGTATGTTCGTTAGAAAACATCCAAATCTATACGATCCTGTAAACACTGTAAAAAGAAATAATCAAACTCAAAATAAATTGAATATTCAATTCTCAAAATTAAAATTATTCACAACAGGTCCGCATACGATTGTAATTAAAATATATAATAATGTTCCAAATAACCTCAAAAATATTGACAACACCAAGTCTTTTATAAAAAATTCAAATCATTCTTAATCAATAAAAGTTATTATAATTTAAGTGAATTCTTTATAGATGTGAATAAATAGTCAATGTATGTGTAATAATTATAAAAAAATATATTTTAGACTAGTAAATATTAAGAAATAAGATATTTGGTATTTAGTACGTAGTAGTTAATATTAAGTATAATATACATAAAAAAAACTTCTCTCTTACAAATTCCTATGCCCCTACGGGGCGTCACTTGATGTATGATATATTTCTTGTGGTATGCAAGTTATATAAATAAATAAGTAATATAATTTTTGATTTATCCTACCAGTACTACAGGCCATCACAAGTCTTATATCCATGCTTCATTAAGTATGAAATGGAATTTGTCCTTGACGAACGTAACATCAGTATTTTTTTATTAAATTGAAGTGACAAGCGAACTTACTGTCAGTCTGATCATAAGTGGTTACTATAGTCCATGGTCACCTGCACGCAACTTCAAATAAAGAATACTACAGATGCGTTGTCACTATGGTGGAATATCTAATAGTCTGGTCTGTAGCCATCACAAGTCCACTGCTGAACATAGATCTGATAAAGCCTCCCCATAGATAAAGTACGGTCCGTCCTGAGCCAACTGCTCCATCGACTGCCTGCATGTTTCATCAGATTGTCACTCCATCTAGGACAAGATCGCTTAAAATTGTTTTTGTTAATATGGGCCTGCTATTCAAGTACTTTTTACCCCATCGGTTGTCGGTTTTTCGAGCTATATATGCTAAAGCTATATATGGCCGGCCCATTGCCACTTCAACTTACTGATCCCCTGGGCTATATCAGTTGCTATTGTTGTTCTGAAAAAAAGGCAATTTTGGTTGTTTATTTTGTTTGGAATTGTTATCCGATTTTGTAATTTGCTTATAACTGACACAAATATGTTTAATCAATTCCTTAATTGTTATACACTGTTTTGAATATAAGTCTGATCAAATCAACAAATTGGTAAACAATATTAAAAATAAAAACTCATGTCAACAGAAATGCCGTTCAGTGGTTAACAATACCTATTTCGTAATTAATTTTTTATTTAGTAAGTTTACTTTTTTAAGACCTAAATTAATTTTTTGGGAATAATATTTTATTTTGTGGATTTTTTACTCCTTATTTATTTTTAACAGGGCCTAGCCGCCGGCTGGTGGAACGATTACAATTTTAGTTGTCAACCAGTGGACTACTCATATAACCCTAAGGCATTCAGGGTAAGTGAAAAACTCGTAGAAAGGTATTTTATATAAGTAAGGTAGACAAACAGGCACATAGCTCATCTTGTAAGCGAACGCTTTAAACCATAGAGACAAATATCCATGCTACGTTAAGTATGGAATGGAATTTGTCCTTGACAGACGTAACATCAGTATTTTTTTATTAAATTGAAGTGACAAACGAACTTTTTTTTTATAGGATAGGGAGACAAACGAGCACAAAGTCCACCTGATGGTAAGTGGTTACTGTGACCCATAGACATCTACATCTATTCTCAATAAAGACTCAAGGAGGTGAGGACTAAGATGGAATGCCTCTTTTCCACTAAAAAGGGTCTCCGGTTCTCTACACTCACCATACGAAACACAGTAGCGTTGAGCTGCTATTTTACGCTGGTTTTCTGTGAGAGCGTGGTCCTTCGCCGGTCGAGCCGACCCATTCGTGCTACACCTGCACGCAACTTCAAATAAAGAATACTGCATATGCGTTGCCACCTCCGAGGACTATGGGGTAATATCCAATAGTCTGTAATTATACTGGCCTCTTTAGACCTGAGTACAGCAGTGCACGTACTGATTTTTAAGTGATTATTGATTATGGTGGTAATTGGGAATCATCCTCTCACAGCAGAAAAGAAGTCCTACCACCAACTAATTCTAACTTTAAGTTCTAACTTTCATTTAATTCTAAATCTAAGTGTAGAAGAAATATTTATATTTTATTTTAAATCTTCTAGATGGCGGGAGCAGTCTGGTGGTACTTCTTCGCGAAGATCATCGAGTTGCTTGACACTATATTCTTCGTACTCAGGAAGAAGAATAAACAAGTATCATTCCTGCATCTTTACCATCACACAATGATGCCAATTTGCGCTTGGATTGGCGTCAAATTCCTACCAGGTATAGACAGCTTATTAACCAATTTCATAATTTGTTTTCAATTTCCTAGCTTCTTCTTTTGTTTGGTCTTGCTGTTGTAACGCTCCTCTCGCTATATATAGAAATATATTCGTCTATAAAAAAGAATTATGTAACTAGGATAATAAACATATATTGATCGTTCTCAATGATGTTTCTATACGATAAGTTATTAGCCGTTTAATAAATTTATGACGTGATCGTCTTAGTTAGGACCGTTATTTACTTTGTGATTGTTTAGTAACTTGAATGAATATTCACTAGAGCCATTGAAAGCTGTGCGTAGTGACCTATAATTATTTTAAATAAAAGAACTCCGTTCACGAAGAACGGTCTCAAAAAGGTCAATAACGTTAAATCATCCCTATTCCACTAGTATCAGGTTCACATAAGTCAATTCCTTATTAATTAATCTCGTCCCGTTTACAAATCAATGGCAGCAAAGTAAAAACAGACATCTACATTTTTACGAAAATGATTTTTTTACAAAAATGAGCTTAAATCAACCCTGTCTATAAGTCTGTATAAAATTATTTCAAATTTCATAATAATGAAGAAAATCTGGCACATAAATGAGGGTAGATACCCTCGATTTAAAAAATTAGCATCGCAGTAGAAACGGACATTAGAATTAATTACATTAGAATTTGTCCGCCTTTACTTCGGAGCTTTGACAGATGAATGAAACGTCAACAAAGACATCGGTTACTTGCAAGAGTATAACAACCCTATGAAGTCGTCACAAATGGGTAAAAAATGAAGATAGGGCCAAAGTAAAATGGAATCAAGTGCGCGAAATAGTGTTGCAGTACAGACAACCCGATAAAATATTTTATAAATACGATTTGAATAAGAGATCAGCCATGTGTATTGACAGTTCCGAACGGACAAGCAGACGAGTTTTGCAAGTCTATAATAACTGGAAAAGTTCATAGTGAAACTTTACCCATTACTACAGCTAAATACAAGGACTTAAGGTATTTATGTCAACAAAATTTAATCCCACCAAGATACAAAAAATATTAAGCATAGCAGCGCCATGGTAGAATCAGAAGCTGCTGATAGCTCTGAATTTGAAGAATCGATCTCAGTTTCGATCGAGCTAAGTTTAAATATTGTTTTGTTTTTGTTCCTTTTTAATTTTATATCAGTCAGTTTGCCAGTGGTGCCTTTGATAATAAATTAAACATGGTAATATATCATATTTTTATTTAAAAAGTATGTATTTAACGTGATTTAGGAACTAAATAAATGAGTTTTACTGATGTATTTAGATGGAGTTTAGTGGTAGGTGACACAATAATTGATAATGTATAAAATGTTAAATGCAAAGTAAATAAAGACATCTGCAAAATTTCGTCAAAAAAAGTGGAATACCGTTTGCTAGTTGCTTAGATTTTCTTTAAATATCTTAAAAAGTATTAATGAAGATTATTATCTTAGTTTATCACATATTTTAAATGAAATGGACGCTTTTTTATCACAAAATTTAAACGGATATCAGGCAGATGTCTTCTTCTAGAGGTACACGGCCCCACTCAGTCCAATGCTGGGTACGGTGAGTGCCAACCAACCAACGCGCTCCCCTTAAAGAGGGACGTTAAATTGGAAACTGAACCATAGCCCACAGCAAAATAACTGGCGAACCAGAAAAAGAGGGCTTGGACCTTTGGTAGCGCGAAAGCACAAAAACATTGACCGCAGTCGCGCATGTCAATGTATGTAAACGCCATACATAATATGATCAAATCCAGCCACATTGAATATACATCACGTGATTTAGGCAACACGTTAAATAATAGACACTCTGGCCATAAAAAGCCCTCCGTGAGTGCTACCAGCTGCAAGACTGCCGCTCCTGCAGAAGTAATGTAATTGTAAAGTATCACCATCAATTACTTGATCAGTACGACTTCTAGCCGACTTCTAGCCGTTCAGAGCGTGTCATGAGTCTACTGCTCACCTCAAAGGAATGGGGTCCCACGTTGAGTGGCTTTCAGCCACAGCTTTGAGAGTCTCCTCAGTCTCCCTCCAGGTATCACCCGCATGATGTCGACACATATGCTCCATCAACCAATTAAATGCCAGATATAGCCAAAAAGCAGTTATTAGATAATAATAATAATTCGCTATCAGAAAAGGTTTGTTTATCTGACGTTGAGTATATTAATTTTTTGATCATGTTTGTCTCACATACCAACAAGTTGCCTTCAATCATTCAAAGGTAGGAAAGTTACAGGGATATTTTATCCTATTGTTATATAAAACATCATAGAGGTCAGACAATCTGCTGCCCTGTAATTATGGGACCCGACTTGGGCATAGAAACTTGCTAGCTAGGCGTGAGTCAAACCAAGACGCAAAGAGCGCCATTGAGATTAGCGACTCGCCATTCAACCATCGCAGAGACGCAATGCTGCTGACTGCAACGAGCATCAATACGATTATCGTCGGGCTTACACCATCCAAAGTTCCCTCATACATTCCCAACAGACATTAAAACCCACATACCTCTATCGACCAGTCTCACACATCACGATATCGACCTACATCTCCAAGATGCATCGAATCAGACGCAGCACACCCACATGATCCCTATCGACTTTGGTATCAAAATTGGTAATGTTGTTAACTAATAATTTAAAATTAAAAATATTGTACAACCGATACCAACTTATATTATTAAAGATAATTCAAAAGCTATTGATCAGACCTTGATCGAATTTATATGGGAATGCATTTACATGAGAAGCACAAGCTTTTGAATAAAAAAGAATCATTGAAATCGGTTCCCCTGACAAAAGTTATGACGTATAACCCACATAAAAAAGAACATACATTCGAATTGAGTACCTCCTCCTTTTTGAACTCGGTATAAAATATCACCAACGTATCATAGTAGCACATTACTAAGACGCCAGTAGCCAAAATCCATGTATCATAGAGCTATTGTATAAAGACATGGAGTTGAGTATGCTTGCTGCGCTTAAAGTACTACCTAGCACACTCACATATCATAACGCTATACGCTAAGAAGCCTCCCACAATTGGTAGGGGTATACGATGTCTACCGGTAAGTCGTTTTACTACAACGAACCCGCTTTCCACTTGCACTGAGATGATATACCTAGGATATATCGGTTACCGAGTCTAATTTTACCTCGGTCTCGGACGCTGTGAAGCAGTCTATACGCTGCTGTAATAATCCTTCTCAAGTTCCTTTTTTATCAATATAATGATTTTAGATATTTGAGACCTTCCACATACTCGCTTTATTTCATTGACCTTACTTGTGTTGTGGCGGATTGGGATTATTTTACTAGATATAGTGGACTGTATTGAGAATCTAAATCCCCTGAAACGTTCAGTTACCGCAGTCACAAAATCACACCAAAAACAGCAACAAACTACTCACGGTCTTACTAGCCAGCCTCCCAAGATCAGCAAACGTTGACAGCTCCTGGTAGCTTCTTCTACACGGTAGAATACACTAGCAATTAGATTGTACACGGTACACTCTGGAGTAGTCCCTTTTTTTAAGTTTTTGGAGAGATGTTCACATCACGAACACAAAGAGAATGTGTATGGCTTGTCTCGCCTCCTACCCTCCTCTTCTCTTTTTTTTAACTTCACAGATTATTACAACGCATATTACGTCGCAATGTTGCCACTAGGTGTGACCGGCGCTCCGATCGTAGCAGATCATTGTGCCTCGGTATAAATTTTGTGAGTTGCGGTTTATTACTGAACACACCCCCCACCGAAACCATCTTGATGGTTTCTCCTAACTATATGAAAAAGATATTAGAGAAAATATTATAACTTAAGCTACGGAACATGCAAAATAACGCTGAGACACAGAATGTCCTCAACGAGAAAAAAAAAAATATTAATACACGTAAAAACTAATTTGAATAAGGTAGAGGACTCAGTTTATTAACTGGTCTCTGTAGAGTACTCTTTTGAGTGCGAAGCGTAACACAACGAACAATCCCATCTGGACCGGGGTGAAGAGCCTCAATTCTACCCAAAGGCCAATTGCACGGCGGTACATTATTAGTTTTTATGATTACGAGATCACCTATTTTTATATTAGATCTATCCGAATGCCACTTTGCTTTCTGTTGCAGCGTATTTAGATATTCGTGACTCCATCTACGCCAAAACATTTGTGAACATTTTTGAATATATTGCCAACGTGATAATCGATTTATTGTTATATCCTCTACATTATACTCAGGTACTGCTGTTAACCCTTTTCCAATTAGAAAGTGTCCCGCAGTCAAAACGTTGAACTCATCAGGATTATCACTAGCTGGTAACGGACAAAGCGGCCGCGAGTTGAGAATCGCTTCTACTTTACAAAACACTGTTGTGAGTTCCTCGAACGTCAAACTTTTTTCTCCTACGGCTCGCGTTAATAGATACTTGGCGGATTTAATTCCAGCTTCCCAGAGCCCACCCATATGTGGTGCACCAGGGGGATTAAATCTCCATATAATTTGTCGTTTTGAGCAACCCTCTAATATATTGTTTTTTTGTTCGAGCATAAATCTTTGTACTTCGGTTAAATGCTTACTAGCAGCTATGAAATTAGTTCCGCAATCCGAATAAAGGAAGGAGCACACACCGCGTCGCGCTACAAATCTGTCTAAACACGCGAGGAAACAGTCCGATGACAACGACGATAAGACTTCAAGGTGTACAGCTTTTGTCGAATAACAAATAAATAATGCTAAATATGACCGTTCAACCCTAGCATTTCGTCGTAAACTTTCTTTTGTAAAGAACGGACCACCGAGGTCCACCCCTACATGCTCAAAAACATTACAAGGTATCAATCGGGCTGCTGGCAAAGGTGCCATCTCAGGCTGTAAGAGCACTGGGTTGTGTTTAAAACAAATTTTGCATTTGGACAAAACTGACCGAATAATGCGACGGGATGCTAAAATCCAAAAATTTTGATTAATAATGTTTTGTAA